TCCATGTTGCAGAAATTTCTGCGCGATGAGGATAGATATCAACATATCGATGTTGGAGAGATTGAGTTGCAGTCAGATGCAACTTATTTGGAGTCACCGTGTCGTTTTATCGCCCGTCGGGATCAAATCCTTCGTAACAAGGTTATTCCTTTGGTTCGTGTTCAGTGGAGTCATCACAATGAGGCTAAGTCTACTTGGGAACGGGAGGATGTCATTCGCTCGCAGTTTCCTAAATTTTGGGAAGAAGGTAAGAGCGAATTCCAAGGACGGAATTCCTGTTGTTAGGGGGGGAAGAATGTAATACCCCTAATTTAACAAGGATAGTTCTGGAATTTATTTAATTATTTAAATTGTGTTTTTATTTATTTAGTTGTGAATTTGTTGATTACGTGTGACTTTATTTGTTTTTATTTATTTCGTGGTGGTTTGTGAATTAATTAATTTGTTTTTATTTATTTCGTGGTGGTTTGTGAATTAATTAATTAGTTTTTATTTATTTAGTGGTGGTTTGTGAATTAATTAATTAGTTATTAAATTGTATTTTATTTTTTTCTATTTTTCGTTAATTGAACTTAGGGTTTTGTTTTATTTTTCTTTAGCCGACTTAGTTGCCTGTCTAGTATTAGGACTAGAATTAGGGTAACCTTAATCCTATAAATATATACATTAAGGTTTACCTAGGGTTTTAGAACTTAAACACGTCGGTGGAGGCAGAGAGAGAGAACAGAGGAAGGCTTACAGTAGTCGGAGTTTGCCGGAGAATTTAGGAAGCAATGGTGCAAGGTTTCAAACTGAGACCTAAAGGCAAGTTCTAATCCTCACTCCTTCCCGTTGCCTCGTGTTCTTTGCATGTCTAACACAACTCCAGGGAACTGTTAAGGATTAAAATTAAACTGAATTTCTTGTACCTCTGTTGTTTTAAAACTATTTGTAGTTGAAACGTGTGTATTGTTTGTTTTAATTTCTTCCTTGTGTAACCTCTGTTTAATTCGTGTAAACTAATGAGTAATGATTTTAATTAGTTCTATAACATGTTGGGAAGCACTAGAATTAATTTAGGTTGCAAGTTTGATTTGCTACAACAGTCGATGCTCCGGAATGCTTAAACTGCTCGTATTAAACTTTTGATGCAAAATTCAGGTTTTAATTAATTTTAGTAACTGAACAATGAATTTAGTGGATTTTGGTATAATTTGGAACCCAATTTAAACACTTAGGAACCCTAGGTATGAAGGTCAGTTCATCAGAAACTCACCGGAATTCAAAACGATGAAGAACAGAGAGAGAGACGGCTTACTGTTTTAAAGAGCAGGCTCTTCCGGACGAAGAGCAGGCTCTACTTTTAAGTAGAGCCGGCTCTAGGGGTCTTGGAGCAGGCTCTACTTTTAAGTAGAGCTGGCTCCAAGATGGGAAGAGCAGGCTCTTCTTTTGGTGGAGCAGGCTCTTCCCTCGGGTGTGCGTTTTTTTAATCTTTCTGCGACTATGTGGGCTACAGAACTTGGATTTTGGGATTTTCAGTTTCTGTTGGAAGCTATACTGAGGTGTTTAGAGGTGGTCTAAGCTTGATTAAAATCCTTGAGAGAAGATTTATGCAAAATAAAATAACTTTGTTTTAATGCGACAGTGGACAATGCTTAATTAATCAGTTTACTGGGTTTTGTTATGAAAGGATGCAGAATTGCTTAACACTTAGAATAGCAATTCTTAGCAATAAAATTCTCAATTAAACCTATCTCAATGTTATAAAATAAGCTTGTGGATTTAAATGGTTTAGTATGCTTATTTGGGCCTAAGTTGGTTTACAGTTTGGATGGGAGGAACTGCAAGATGTTTAAGCTTTGGTATTAAAATTCTTAGTGATGATTTGCAGTTAGTCATGTTCCAAAATTACTAAAAATAAACCTGTGAACATTTATATTCTATTATGGTTGATTAGAATTAATTGGTTTACATGTATAAACTGTAATATCAATTAGTGGACCTTATAGAGTAGTATAGATTAAGCTTGTTAATTGACAATTATTTTATCATGCTTATTATGGAACAATTGATATTTGTACTTAGTGTTTTATTGTCAATTGTGGAATGTATGGATTGGTTGATAGTTATATTTTTATTTATTCTATTAACTGCCGGATGGATTGGATTGTATGCATCGGTATGGGACGGTGACATACTAGGTTTGGATTTGGCTCAAAATTGCTATATCCTACCTATACGGAATAAGGGAATGGATTAAAAATAAATCCTACTTATATTTAGGCTAAGTCAAAGAAGCTGCACAAGCTGAATGACTAGCTGGAGTACTGGTTATCTATGTTAAGTATGTGCAGTTGAATAAGCTGAATGACTTACTAGATTTATTATGAATTGTTATGAACGGATTTTAAATATATGTTTATGGTACCACGAGAGGAGCTTGAGTCTCAGACTCGTTGGTTAGGGTGCGTATATGCAGTGGATGCGTAGCTGGCTATAGTAGATTGAGGTGTACCCTGTTAGGTTTAGGTACTCATGCCCACATTTGGGTGCGTTTTCGCATGTTGCCTTCTATTCAGGTTGAGACCCCTACTGTAGTCCAGTGAATGTCCCTTAGTATGGATATATATATATATACACACGAGTTATATAGTTATTGTTGAGTTGGTTAGAGTGTATATGCGTATCGAGTCTCTGCTTGGATTGTAGTAGGTTAGAACTTGTTCGTGGGCCTGACCCACTCCTATTTTTCCAGGTATACGTCAGTTCCAGGCTTGAGCTTGTTCGTGCTGGGCAGAGAAGATCTTCCATTCTACCGACGATGTAGGACTTCTTTCCAGATATTTGATTTGGATTTTATCTTCAGTTTACTTTCATTCAGTTTGGTTTTTAGGGGTCCACTGGAGATGGATTCCCGAGTTGTTAACTTATGGAGGTTTTGGATTATTGGGATTTAAGTATATTTAATATTAAAGGTTTTTATATTTAGTTTTCTTCCAGCTTAAACTTTATTTATCAAATTCATTTTGTCATCTGTGTTCGTATTACATATTAATTGTTGGATATTTCCCTCGGGTTTGAGCTTGGGCCTGATTAACCCGTGTCTCGGATCCGAGGGGTATCACATTTACCCATTGGGTTATTCAAGAATCATGTAATTAGTATGGGTCTGGTGAATTCTTTTGATATACTTAGATAGTGGGAGGCTTATTTATTTGTTTACTCTTATTTTATGGTATTCATAAGAACTATTTGTAGTCTTATTTATTTTGGATATTTGTAGCTCATAAAGTTTTGGACCATTATTATTTCTATTATTATATTCATGAATATTTATGTGCACATATGATATTATGAATTTTAAGTCTCGTGAAAAGATATAAATTTTAACAGACTACAATTATATTTAACATATTGCTAAGGCTAAATTTTTATTATGCATCATGTCATAATGTTCTTTAGAAACATAAAGATGAAAGGCATGATTGTCTTGTATTAAAGACATAAAGGCTTCTGGTTTGAAGCATTAAGGGGTTTTGTAAAAAACCATAAAGTTGGACCGTTATGGATATAATATAAATAATCACGTAAAGATGTTATTTCCATGTATACCATATTTGTCGGGGATCCATGTGAATGATGGTGCTAGTGTTGTGATCATAGATGGTCATATATGATTAAATGTACATAAATCTCTATGGTTCGCACTAGTGGTATCTTTTGATAGGATCTTAAACTAAGATATTTTATTTTATTTTTAAAAGAAATTTTTATTTCTATTTTTTTTTATATTTTTATTTTTTTTGCAATCAATGTTTGCCCAAGTGGGAGAATGTAAGAATTTTTAGGCTTCCATTGATTAACATTATTAAAACACGGATTGATGATTGAGACTATATATATGATTACGGATACCCTATTGAGGTGATTATAAATTATTGGGTTATGGTATACCTTAGTCACATGTAATCATGTGTTATGACATATGAATAAGGATATAAATATATATTAGCATTATATACGGTTACCTATAATGCGCTGAACATAACTCACGTTACGGGTTTGTTGTTATCTGATAAAGATCTCTTGATGGGAGGGATTTTATCAGATACTTTATATATATATATATATATATATATTGTTTGGTCCCCACTCTCACACAAATGCTTAATTCGATTTAGTCTAGCCTCATTGAATAGACGTCTGAGCAAAAGTGGAGAGGGTGGAAGATCAACCAAAACGTTCTTTTGCAGATCAATTGGATCTTGTACATTGTTCTACTTCTCGCTAGTTGTTTTAATTTCATGTTACACATTGCGTAATGACTTCCGTAGGTATTCATCATTATATGCTATTAATTATTATTGTTGTGTTTTAAGCATGTGTATGATTTTCTAAATAAGTTTACACGGTGTACTTTGTTTCAAATATAGTGGATCATTTATAGTCAGGACAATGCAAAAATTATTGAGGTTTTTCAATTGATTTCCTCGCTAAAATTTGGATGTCATCTCTCTACATTACTTACTCTACTTTTCAGTATTTAGTAACGTGGTTGTGAATGTTTAATTGATCATTTTTGTAGGTAAATTAATTAATCACAAAATTGGGCAAAGTTGACCTAATAACCTCATCTAAATCATTTAGTATGTTAATCACAATTAATCAACTGACAGCTTTCATACCACATAAGTATCATAAAAAATAAAAATAAAAATATCATGACCCCATGATAGTAACCCCGTGACAGTGAAACAAGAAGTCCCATTAATAATACAATCTGACAAAAATTTATGACGAAAACGATCAGTCTAATATTTAAAAATAAAAAGAGTATCTTCTATAGTAATAACCTTCAAGAAAATAAAAGAGTTATTTAACAAATAATTTACTACTATAGTTGTATGTAATTTCCACGTGCAACGGATTTTTATGGAGCATATGAGAATCATGGCTATCTCCTCTTCTATATATAAATAAAAGCTTGGTCTCAAATTGTGGCATATCTTTGCACCCTTAATTCTAAGAAATCTAAGACACCCTTAGTTATCTAGAAAGTAGCAACCACTCCAATTGGCCCCAAAAAAACATGTTGAACACACCAGTACTAATCCACCAGTCACGCTACTCTGCTCAAAGCCTATTCCAGTGGCACAAACCTTTCGTCTCCGGCAACCACACTGCATATTTTACCCTCCGTCCAAAGCCGGATTGCGGTAGAACCCAGAAGAACATTAGTGTTAGCTTTGTTCCAGGAAATAATATTAAAGCCAAAGCAACAAGTGTTACTGACAACTCCATTGGCGTTAAAGCTGTTGTTACCTCCCAACCGAGTGGCGAGCTCATCTTGGAGCTTGTTAGCTGCGAGCTCGATCCTAGTAAGTATTTATTTGATTTTTTATTTTTATTTATTTATTTATTTTCACCGTAAACAAGACGGACTAATGGGCAGCTAATGAGTAAGATAATAAATAGCCAATAGAGGGATTTTACTATTTTTAAATGCTATTAAGAATCCTTATTAGACTCTACTCTATTTATATATATATAAATAGTAATTAAAAAAATAGATGTCTGGATAGTTTAGTGAGTTAGTGACTTTAGTAAATTTTAAAGTGTCAGACTTTGACTATTTGAAATTACTAATCTAACTTTTAACCCTTCTTGTCTGTTTTTTTAAAAAACAATGATTTGAGTGTTAGTCTTTTCAATATAAAAGTATCATTTATCATTAGAAAAAAGAAAAAAAGTGTTAATGGTCGATCTTTCTTCTGTATTATTTACTAATCCGCTTACTTTTTTGCTTTTGCCATGATTTTGGGATTGTATTGAAGAACGAAACAGGTATGCATAACCATAATATTTGCTCTAAAGCTTGAGAGCTTCAAATTATTCTTTGACTCAAAAAGAAAAAATAAAAAGTATTTACTTACTAAAAAAATAAAAAGTATTCTCTAAAATTGGGTTTTCTATAGAACAATTTTTAAATATTTTTCAAAATTATATTTTGTCCTCATTAATGAAAAATCCAAACAAAGATCCCCTAAAGTTCTTTCATGTGAATTTTTTTTTTTTTTTTTTTTTTTTTGAGAAGTGTTTTAGTTTTTTAACTCGGAGGTTACGAGTTTGAAACAAGGAACTAGTACTTTCGCATCACAAGTCGAGGTAAATCTGTGTATATCTAACACTTCTAGACGTGATAATGGAAGAAGTCATTCCTAATAAAAGTATAAATCAAAAGGATAAAAAAATATATATCTAAAGATCGTCGTTTTGAAATATTTACAATGGAAGAAGTCATCCTTAATAAAAGTTTAAATCAATCCCCATAAAAAAAAATAAATAAATAAAAACATTTAAAGGTCATCGTTTTGAAATATTTAGACCTAATTTTTTCTTTATATCAATTTGGCTAATTAGAACATGTTTAGTTCAGTTTTCAGAAAAAAGTTCTTAAGAAAACAAAAAAAAAAAATCACAGAATTATAAAATAGTAATTCACTGAAAAAAGAAAAAAAAATCTTATGAATCTAATATTTGATTTTGATTATTTATTGTTTTGGAGACACGGGACTAGAGAAGCCAACAATCAAGATGCGCGTTAAAGGGAGCAGTGCAGATGAGACAGATTTTTCAGTTCCAAGAGACTTTGGGAAAATTGGTGCAGTGTTGGTACAAAATGAACACAACATGGAAATGTATGTGGAGAAGATAGAGCTTGTTGGTTTCCCTAATGGCCCTGTTCACATCACATGCAATTCCTACGTTCAACCGAAGTCTTATAATCCTGAGAAAAGGATCTTCTTCTTCAACAAGGTATTTGGTCAATCTCTCATCTTTCTAACTTCGTACCTATATAATCAGGGACGGACCAGCATGGGACTAGGGGGGACGGATGCCCCCCCTGAATTTTTAATATTTTTATTTTATACCCTAGTTTTTTTGAAATTTATGAACATGCCCCCCTAAAATTACAATTCGCCCCCACTGGATTCTTTTTTTTCAGCATTTTACACTTCAAATTTTGATAATTTATGAAGATGCCCCCACTATAAATATAATTTTTTAAAATTTATGAAAAAAACCCTATTAAAATTACAAAAATAAACCAATCATATAATCTTGTACCGACAAATTAAAAATTCGCCCCCCCTCACCAAATTTTCTGGGTCCGTCACTGTATATAAAGTTCATTTAATTCTTGATAAAAGTCATTGTCATTGAAAATAAGGATTACAAATAATTTCTCTCTATTCTTGTGTTTGGAAATAATACATGTGTGATTATCTACCAAAATGAGTGAAATTGTTTAACTTAGATGATCAGAAATTCTCTCATTTTATTTTATTTTTTTTATTTTTTTTTATTATTTATTTTTTTTTTTTTTTGTGTTTCCATGAACCATATTAGTCGTACTTCCCATCCCAAACACCAATTGGGTTGAAGAGTCTAAGACAAAAAGAGCTCGAAAACTTACATGGTGATGGCCAAGGAGAGCGCAGGAGCACTGATCGGATCTATGATTACGATGTGTACAACGATCTTGGCGATCCTGACCGTGATGTTAAATTTGCTCGACCTGTACTTGGTGGAAAGAAGCATCCATACCCAAGACGTTGCAAAACCGGCCGTGTACGATGCGAAAAAGGTATTAAAATTAACAAAAGCCTTGTTTGATTATTATTATTATTTTATTTTTATTTTTATTTTTTTTAATTCTTAAAGTAAACAATTCTTAAAAAATATAATTAAAGTATGGATGTGTGAGTATCAACTAATTTTTTTTTTTTTTTTTTTTTTTTTATAAAAAATTGATTTTAAAAAACTACATCACTTTCCATATTTAATTAATAGCATTCAAATTGAAGGTGATAAATTCAATTTCTTATAAATCCATGTCGAATCCATGTCGGTTTTGATGTGAAATGATACTGTATTATTTTTGTTGTAAATACACTTCAGTGTTTTTCCCCTCCGACAATATAGATGCCTATTCTATCATACTCTAATGAATTTTCTTTTTGGGTCCATAAGCAATATTGTTGAAAGCAATGTAATCTTGATGACTGATATGTGTAGATAATGACTGCTGTATGGGTTTAATTTCTTCATTTGGATTGCGACAACTAATCTTGATGACTGATATGCGTAGATAATGTCTGCTGTATGAGCTTAATTTCCTCAATTGGATTGCGACAACTTGCTGCGATGAAATACCAAGTGTATAGTACTTTTTAATAAGGGTTGCCACGGATAGCTCTAATTAGACATCAATCCTAATTCTATTCATTTTTAATGGATTGGAAAATTTTAAATCCATCATCGATCCATTATCTTACCGATCGAATCCGTTGAATAACAGATCGGATTGGATTGAATACGCGGAGTTTTTCATAAATAGTCCAATATTATTTATTTTTCAACCATAACCCAAAAGATAAAATTTTAATTTATTACCATTAATTCATATATTTAAATCATCATTAACTAATACATTCTTAGAATCCATTAAATGATCATCAATTAATTAAATTAACTAATACATTATTTGAATAAATATATATATAAATTTCATGGATCCGATCGAATTTTTAACAGTTCAATCTGTGATCCTATCTGTGAGTTACGGATTCGATTTTTTTTTAATCCGTCATCGATCCGTGGGTATAGTAATTCGACCCGATCCGCACAGATCGGACCGGATTGGATCGGATTTGCGGATTATTTGTCCACCCTTACTTTTTAAGCAAGATGTGGGGTCGGTAGGGTAAATTCAAATTTCTCTTGGTTGTTAATAGATGATTAAATGCAGGACAAGACTTGTCTACTCACCGGTGAGTAGGTCATTCCTATGGACCCCTGATTCAAAATCACGTTAGTGAGATATAAGGACAATAATTTTTTTTGAAATAAATTCAATGAACTTCTATGATTTTCTTATTTATCACTTTCTTGATTTTGAAATTAAAGACTATGTGTGCATTTGTGATTACACCACATCAACGGTGGACAATACCTGCTTATTCATCGGTGAATAGGTTGTTCTTATTGACGACTAATGTGGTCCAATCACAAATGTACAAATACTCTTTACAGGTTAGTGAAAAATAAGGACAATAATTTTTTTTGAAATAAATTTAATAAACCTCTCTGATTTCTTTATTTATTACTTTCCTGATTTTGTAATTGCAGACTATGTGCATTTGTGACACGGGTGAGTATGCAGGTCTTATCCTTAAATGCATGAGTAAATTAAATTTCACTTATAAACAATTTAATATTTAGTATTTTAACCTACCTTGAAATGTGTCGTGTGTTCTCATCTCATCGATATCCCTAATATATTCTTTTCGACATACTTGTTGATCAAATTTTATAAACTGATAATTTTACCATTCCTTGTATAAAATTTAATACAATATATTAGTATAATATAAAGGCATTACTGAGTTTTCTCACTTAAAGTCACTTTTCAGTCACGGGTAGGCCTATCAACGGATCATATTCGGATCAGATCGATTAAATCCATATCTGATTTATTAAGCTATGAGATTATCAGATTCGGGTTACTAACGGGTTATTGGATTGAATGTTCTAATCCATATCCTATATATTTAGCTTAGATTTGGATTCAGATTAAAATCATATTCACTGACATGCATAAATAAGGTTAGTTGGAGTGCAGAATAGTTAATATATAAGATGATACATAATATAAGTATGCAACCAAATGAATATAATAGTAAATAATTAATATATATAAATTTAATAGTAGATAACTAAATATAAACAACGCATTCATTTATAGTATAATGTAATGTAATATATATATATACATATATAATTTTAATCAGATTGGATCATTATTGGATTGGATAGCGTATAATCAATATTCGATTTGTTAAGATAATAGATTATCGGATTTGGATCATTATTGGATTATTGGATTTTTTTTTTTTTTTTTTTTTTTTCAATTCATATCGGGATAATCAGATCGGATTGGGATTAAAATTAGATCCATTGACAGGTCTAACCGTGGGAAGTGTTGCCATGGTACTTTTGATTAAGATGTGGGGTCAGGAACATGGTAGGGAAGATTTAATTTTCTCTTGGTTGATAATAAATGATTAAATAAATTAGTAAAGGGAAAACTACACATATGTAAAGTTAGGAGTCCTAAATAACAAATCGATTAGTTTTAAAAGTTAATTTTCTATTTTGATTGAATTAAGCAAAATAAATACCAAAATATCCTCCTTAAAATTATATAATTTCAATATAATAAAATAGATAATTAAAAATTAGTTTAACTAGCTAATAATAATTCTCTATCACTTATTTTCGTAGGCTAACGTCCAGGGCACCACCCACCTCGCATGTCTTCTAGGTCCCATTGCCTCTCTTTTCACACACACATATATAAATATAAATATAAATATGTAATTATTTTTGTTCACGAGTTTCAAATCTATGACTCTGTAGGCTTTAGAAGTATGCTATAGCTTATGAAATTAGGGTTCATGCATAGGCTTATCAATTTGGCATCTCAAAATTTGCTGTGATTTTTTTTTAATTGATTGAAGAAGGAAACAAACAACAACTAGAGACCTTTAGACAACCAAAAAAAAGGCAGATAAATATTCCAATATTTCATTACCCTACTGTCCAACAGGATATGAGATCCTTAGCAAATCCCATAATAGTTTTTACATCTTCTAATATATTAGCAATAATAATAGCTTCATTTAGGTAACAATTGAAAAAAAATTTATGTGATATACCATCATTGCCATAGTACGCTTGTAGAGCTTTCCTTTTCAATTCTTACAATGACATCAATTCTAAAGGGCAATCCAATGCCATGGATGACAAAGAAAATAGATGGGGAAGTTTTATTTACTAGTTAAACTAATTCTTAATTATTTATTTTAATATTTTAACTTAGATAATTTTAAAAAGAATATTTTTGTATGTTGTACTAAGAGTGTGAGGACATTTTAGACCTTAACAATAATTCTTGATGCATTGTAATTATTTTGATTAATTTAATCAATGTGAAAAATTAACTTTTAAAATTGATCCATTTCTTATTTAAAACTCCTAATCCCAGTTATATGAAATTTTTTGATTAGTAAATTACACTGGCCTCCTCTGAAATTTGAGCAAATTACACGCGTAGACTGTTTAATATTTATTATTTTTACCTTTCTTGAGATTTACGTTTTTTGCTCAATGACACCCTTAATAGTTTCTTTCCCGCATACTTGTTGACTAAATTTTATAAATTAACAATTTTGCCATTTAGTATATAAATGTAATATATTATATTATTATAATATAATCTCACTCAAAATCACTTTTCAACCGTCGAAAAACGAATTTAGAGGAGGTCAAAATAATAAATATTAAACGATTTACTCATATGTAATTTATCTAAACCTCATGAGAGGTCAGTGCAATTTACTCTAAAAGCATCGAATATGTTATTTGGAATCTCCGGCACTTAATTGATGTGATAAAATGAAAGAATAACTTGCATGCATTTAACCTAATAAAATAAGAGCAATAATAATTAAGCCAACTAAGCTTATCTATCATTCTCCTGGAAATAATTGTCCCACAGTTACCATGATAATCTAAGTAGAACCTAAGTAGCATAAACACAAATAGGAGATACATAGAAGATACGATACAGATATGTTAATACGTCAAATTTTTAAAAAATTAAATACGAGTATGATGTAAATAAGATTATATTTAAAATTAAAATTTTATTTATATACATATATTGAGTAAGAATATTAATTATGAAGTTTAATTAATTTATAATTTCTATATTAATAGTTGCTCTAAAATGGTTTAAAGAAAGAAATTATGATATTATATATTATTATTTCACTACTTTGTCATTATAGTGTTTTTGTTTAAAATGAACAAATATCATTTTATGTCGACCACTTTCACTTGTGATCATATATATAATACCAATTTTTCTAAAGAAAAAAATTGACGACTTTAGAATATGTTCATATTATTTTTAACATTAATGGATATGACTACTTTAGATGTTTTTGTATATAAGAGTTTGTTAGAAATGTCAGGAAATTGTTGGCCTAAGTCTTTGAAAAGCATCGGCTAAGCAGAATAATAGGAATGAATTTAATTTTTCACGTAAATGAAGTATATCGAACACGTGTCCCAAGAGTGTTCGAAGGGTGTAACCGAATACGACTGATGATAACTACAGCACAATCAGGCACGTATATGTAAAGGTATTATTAAATTTTATATCCCTAAATTTATATATTTTTTTACATTTATACTCATAAAATTATTAAATTGCCCCCACTGAAATTATGAAAAAACTCCTCTATATAAATTCTGCCCATATAAATATTCCTATATCTGTCCCTGAGCACAATGATTAATATATATGTGGAATCATTGGTCAAATTTATTGTTTTACCTGCAATCACCACCATGCATTACCGAAAAATTAATAATTTCTGAGGTGAAGAACTTACATTATATTGATTTATACGAATATATTGCAGATCCATTGTCGGATACAAGAAGCTACAACATTTATGTGCCAAGGGATGAAGCATTTTCAGATGTGAAGAACTGGAAAACAGTCGGTGTGTTTTGGGTGAATTAGTTGCAGCAACGGTAGCGACAGTGAAGGAGGAAACATTCAGAGACTTCACAGCCATAGATTCATTTATGAAGAATTTGAACACTACACAAAGTGCCTTGGGCTTTAAGAAACCACAAATGATTGAGGGTAAGCCCAACATTTATATATGACCATCTCTCTCTCTCTCTCTCTCTTTTAATTTTCTTGCAATTGCAGGGGACAAATTTTCTTGGTTGAGAGGAAACGAGTTTTCTCGACAGATTCTTGCTGGTGTCAACCCATGTACCATAGAGTTGGTCACGGTAGGTACAAAACTTCCTAGAAATATGTAAGAAAGAAAATATACTTCTCAAAAATAAAAATATAGTCCATAAATCAAACTAGAAAAGAACTAGTGGTAAATGGATTTTTTCATTTTCGATCGGAATTTGCCATCCGCCCCTTTTTGGGGTTGGACCACCCTATCTACCAAGCGTAAACCGGGGCAAGCGAGTAAACCTAGTCGCCTCCCAGAAAGGGGTTTCGTGTTACCCTGGATCCATCCAATCCATTCATTATCCATCTGTATTTGTATCTGATAGCAAAAAAAGGGTAAGGACAAGGAAATGACAATGCCTGTTCCTCTACTAATAATTTTCTTCTTTTTATTTTATTTATTTTTATTTCCTATTCCATGACAAATATTAGATACAACCCATCCACGTAAGGGGCGGCAATTCGTGTTGGCGTGTCGTGCTCGTGTCAACACGATTACGACATGAACACGATACGATTATTAATCGTGTCTAAAACACTTGACACGAACACGATACGATTATTATACGTGTAACATGACACAACAAGCGTAATCTATTTAATAAACGCCACAAGACCTGACAGGACACGGAAAAACACGTTAAAGTTATTTTTAACACAAATACGACACTTCACGGTTAGCTAAATGGATCATTTTTGACACAAATACAACATGTTTATCTTACACGTTTAGTTAAGCGGGTTAATCGTGTTATAATTGTGTTTACATGGTCAAACACGAACATGAAACATTTAGTTAGAGGGTCAATCAGTGTCGACACAATTATGACACGAACAGAATTAGCCTAAACCCAAACCCGCTTATCATGTGTCGTGTCAAATATTTCCAACCCTATCCCAACGACAAGAATCACTAATGGTCTTTGCTTGCAAATTCATTAGAAAGATTTATATATGGCTGAAAAATAGTTTGAAAGACTTTGAAAGTAGAAAGTTTTAATACCTTTTACATAATGTATACCATATATTGTTTAGGGATGGCAATTTAAACCCAAACTTATTAAATCGTCCAAACCCATCAACTAAAATTAAATTATTTGAGTACCCAAATTTTAGTAAGTGAGCCCATAAGAGGTAAAAAGTGAATACCCATTTAATTCAAGGGTCTATTTTTTTTTCTCTCCCCTTTGTTTTCTCTCATTTTTCTGTCAAAAAAAAAAAAAATTATTAATATTATAATCGTTGAACAAAAAAATAAATAAATAAATAAATGAATTTGTAAAGCTTGAAATCAAAATTTTAGTTTAAAAACAATTTTTTTTTTTTTTTTTTTTTTTTTTTTGCATGTTTTGTTATTCAACGATTATAATATTAATAATATTATTAGAAGTGTAGGTATTTTAATATTATTAATATTACTACTTCCGTGTCATATTAGTTGTCGGATTCAAAAACTTTGACTCACAATTTTTGTGAGTCAAAGTTATCGAAGTAGATATCTAATATGTAATATAGGTTGTATATAAGTATATAAAAGGGGATATGACTAAAAATGATCTCAATTTTTGTGAGTCAAAGTTACCGAAATAAACTTTCTTTTTCTCTCCTATATATATATATATATATATATATATATATATATATATATATTTGTCATAACTCTCTCTTCCCCCTGTTTCTGTCTCCTCCGTTTTCTCTCTCATATTTTTTTTTTTTTTTTCCAAAAAATTTAATAAATAAATAAATAAAAGGAAAAAAAAATGTTACAAGTGAGACCAAAAAATTAATAAATTTAATATAAATTTTATTTATTTACTTATTTATTTTTTAGTAGTCAACAATTAAAATCATTTGACAATTTCTATTTTAAAATTTTGGGATAATTGGGTTGGATATGTGTTAACTAACCCATTTAACCCTTAATTTTTTTTTTATCACTCATCATAAATAAGTTAATAATGAATTATTGACTCACTGTTAACTCGCTCATTAATGATCAGCCCAAAATCCGCCAAACCCTCCCAATCACCACCCCTACCATTGTTCATGTCTTTTAGTCGTTGTTCATTGCTGTCTTCTAGTCCTTTCATAAAATTTTCCAATTTAACAAGCTTTTCTATATATCATTACACTGTAGGTTGTTTTGTTCTTCTACTATATTCTTTTATACAAGATGGCAAAGTGCAATAAACCCCTCCTGACTATTCACATTTTGCAATAAACTCTCATTGACTATTTTTTTTTTTTTTGCCAAAAAACTTCTCTCAACTATCAGGGGGTGACAGTGTGGATGAAAAATATTGTTGAGGCAAAAATGCCCCTATTCTTATTATATAAGGCAAATTGCATAAAACCCCCGCTAACTTTGAATTTTTGGCAAGAAACCTCCCTTAAGAAAAAATTCATATAAAACCCCCTAACAATTCAATTTGTTGCAAAGTGATGTTATAATGACTAAAGTGATTCTTAATATAAATTTAATAAAATGGTGCTCCTTAATATTGAATTAAAATTAATACAAAACTCATTTAAAATAGTGGTGTTAGAAAAAAAATTATTATTATTTATAAATGGTGAGTCTATAAGAAAATAAAAATACCTTGAAACAATTTTTAAAATTTTCTTAAATATTTATTTTTAAAATATAAAAGTCTATAAGAAAATAGAAAATACATTTATTATGCTTCTCTCTTCTTTTTTATTTTTATAAAAGTCTATAAGGGCCTTATGGTCCAGTGGTATCTCCTCTACCTTCCAAAGTGAATAGTAGGGTTTGAGTCTCCAAATGAGCAAAGTGGGTGTGTGTGAGTTTCTTGCCAATGACAACAAATTGTATATTTAAGGGGGGTTTTATATGAACTTTTTTCTTCAGAGAGGTTTCTTGCCAAATTCAAAGTAGATGGGTTTTATACAATTTTCCCTATATAGGAACTGGGACATTTTCATCTCACAAACATTTTTCATCCACTCCGTACCCCCTTGGATAGTTGAGTGGTTTTATTTTTTATTTTTATTTTTATTTTTATTGTTTTTTCTTGTGGCAAAAAATACCTTTGCCCTATACAATACAGTGAAGTTGTCTAATTAATGATTGAGAAACAATCGCTGCATACACAATCAATGAACACAAAACATTTGTGCAGGAATGGCCGTTGAAGAGCAAACTTGATCCCAATGTCTACGGCCCACCTGAATCAGCAATCACCAAAGAGCTGGTGGAACAAGATATCGGAGGCTTCATGAAACTTGAAGAAGTAATTATATTGCAAAACCCATTAACTATTCATAATCCTTACTAAATTTGTTTGGAATCATATCTTTTTGGAAATTGAATTCAGAAAGGTAAAACGGATTGAAATTTTTTGAAACGAAATTCTTTTTTGATTTTGAAATAAGCTAAAAATTCAAGTTACTATAAAATATTTTCTTTAAAATTCACACATCCATTTTCTCCCTACCCGGACACTCATTTTGTCTATACAGAAACTTAAACCATCTACCTTTTACTTTCAAAGACAAGTAAAAAATCACTAGACTGTCTTATTTCATGCACCACAACAAACTATAAGAAGATACTATTAATATTACTTTACTAAATTTCAAGTTACTATAAAATATTTTCTTTTTTAAAATTTACACAACCATTTTCTCCTTTCCCGGACACTCATTTTGTTCGTACAGAAACTTGAACCATCTACTTTTTTCTTTCAAAGGCAAGTAAAAAATCACTAGACTATCTTATTTCATACACTACAACAAACTATAATAAGATCGATACTATTAATATTACTTTACTAAATTTCAAAGTCCATGAAATTGGATTATTTAGTATGAAATTTTAAAAGAGTACTACATTTTGGCATTTGAAATCCCTTCAAATCCAATTATGTTTCCAATTTCACCAATTCCAAATTACATAAATCTCATTTTAAAATCCATTTCCTACCAAATCTCATCATCCAGACACAATTACCTCCTACATTTTGAGAAGTCAAATGTTGATGGTTACATGCAGGCCCTGGAAAAAAAGAGGTTGTTCAGGCTAGATTACCATGATCTACTGTTACCATATGTGAACAAAGTAAGAGGTCTATCACCATCATACAAAACTACACTGTATGGATCAAGGACACTGTTCTTCCTCACCACCGATGGCACGTTGAGACCGCTAGCCATTGAGCTGACTCGGCCACCAGAGGATGGGAAGCCTCAATGGAAGCAAGTGTTCACGCCCGATTGGACAGCCACAGGCTGCTGGCTCTGGAGACTGGCCAAGGTTCATGTCCTTGCTCATGACTCTGGTGTTCATCAGCTAATCAGTCACTGGTAAGCACTACTATTCTTGTAAATGGTTCACACAACATTTAGGTATTAAATTAATAGATATCAAAATTCAGATTAATATGATATAGAAAGTCACCTTATTATGGTTATAATATGAACGTTCAGGTACATTATATGTCATGTGTTTGGATTTGAATAGCATTAATTCTTCAAATTTACCGTGATAAATTAGGGAATTCCTTTGTGCAGGCTAAGAACTCACTGTTGTGTGGAGCCTTATATAATTGCAACATATCGGCAACTTAGCGCAATGCACCCTATTTATAGAATATTACGCCCTCACTTACGGTACACAATGAAGCTCAATGCTTTGGCACGACAACTCCTCAATAGTGCAGAAGGGCTTATCGAGTCATCATTCTCACCCGGTAAATATGCTATGGAGCTTAGCTCTGTTGTCTATGATCAGCAATGGCGATTCGATTTGCAGGCACTGCCAGCAGACCTAATTAGCAGGTAAATTACTTAGCAGGCTAAATAAAGTAAAACTAAGCTCGCACGGGCCAACTCAACTGGTTAGGTCTTTGGGTACTCCCCTTAAGTCTTCGGTTTGCAGGTGATCGATTGCATTCATACGAAGTTTGCAAATCATTAAAGAGTCCAAAATGGAAATTAAAAACTAATTAATTATAAAGATATTGTTCTTAATTTTCTTAAACTTATATAGACTACAAGTACCAATTAATATACTAATTTGCACTATGGCCTTGTTACTTTGGTGTTGACCTAATTAGGGGAATGGCTGTGGAAGATGAGAAATCTCCACATGGTTTGAAGCTGGCGATTGAAGATTACCCTTTTGCCAACGACGGTCTCCTCCTTTGGGATGCCATTGAACACTGGGTTACTGAATATGTTAGCTACTACTACCCAAACGGAAGTCCCGATCTTGTAGAGTCTGACCAAGAACTCCAAGCATGGTGGACAGAAATTCGAACAGTAGGCCACGGCAACAAAAAGGAAGGGTGGCCGGAGCTCAAAACCACGAAAGATCTGATAGGAATTCTCACAACTATGATATGGGTAGCAACTGGTCACCATGCAGCTGTGAACTTTGGTCAGTTTGACTATGCTGGTTATTTCCCCAATAGGCCTACCATTGCCAGGGAGAACATGCCTACCGAAGAGCCAACCAAGGAACAGTGGGAGGCTTTCTTAAAGAACCCCCAGGCTACTTTCATGATGTGCTTCCCTTCACCAGATCAAGCTTTGAAAATTATGGGCATCTTGAATGTGTTGTCCAATCATTCTCCGGACGAGGAGTATATCGGTGAGAAGATGGAGGCAGCCTGGATTGAGGAACCCGATATAAAGAAAGCGTTCGAGAGGTTTAATGGGAAGTTGAAGAAAATTGAAAGTATTATTGATAGTAGGAACACAGACTTTAATTTGAAGAATAGAAGTGGAGCTGGAGTGGTGCCATATGAGCTACTGAAGCCATTTTCGGAATCTGGGGTGACAGGGAAGGGAGTTCCTAATAGCATCTCCATTTGAAGAGGGTATCTAAGTTGAGAGTACGTATATATTGGTGGTGCAAGAAATTAAACTTGATAATTTGCTCTAAGTGCTTTCTGAAGGTTGCAAAGCCTTCTTATATGGTGTTTTAATTTTCAGACAGTGGGTGTGCTTATTTATGTTATGGGGAGGTATGAGAGTTAAAACTACTGATAGCTATGTTCGTGGGAATTATGTCAAGTTATATAGTGGAAATAATGTATTTTGAAGTTTGTATGATTAAATGTACTTACTTATTTTAATCTAATGCTACGTTGGTGTTGTTAGGTTTTTTTGAATAAAACATAAAAGTTTTTAAAACTTTTTATTTGAAGAGGTGTGACCCCTTATGAGTAGTTATGTCTATTGGCTAAGGGTCTGAAAATAACCCATAAATATATGGTTATTCTAACATATTAAAGGTTCTACTTCGTTTCTTTAGTATTCTTTTCTAAAAATTCATTCCTTCATTCTTCAACTGAATAATATATTATATATATTCAATTATATATCTGGTTTTATGGGCAACGTGACACTACAAGACTTGCAGCACATTGCAGGCTTTTACATCCTGCCTAATTGTTGGTTAGACCTGGTTAAGTGGTGTTCAAACCACTTGAAATCTCAAAGTTTTTTGACACATAAGCTGTTGTTGTCTGCTACAATCTATTTCCTTTGACAGGAAAGAAATGCAAGGGTGTTCAGAAACGTTGGAACACCTCCACAACATATAATCTCTCAGATTAAGTCTTGCACCAGAGCAAAACTTGCTTCAATCAACCTAAGAAGGACCTCTGATCTGTCTCTCATTTCCACAGAGCAAGACCTCTATAATCTTTTCCTGCAGGCCTGTTCTACCTCCCATTCTCAAAGTTGGTTGCTAACATGAAGTTAAAAATGCTGTTGCTGTCACTTGTCTATCTTGGTGGTGTATTGTCCACTTTGTTTGTTGTTGCTATTGATCTTGTGTTCCTATGTGTTGCTGGTTGTAATTATTAGCTGTGTTGTTTCTTGTTTTAGTCCCTACTATAATTGGGGCTTCTTGTACAATTCTCCATTATTTATACACAAGCTTACCTTTTAACAAAAAAAAAAAAAAGACTTGGTGATCGTCACTCTGTGAACGTGCGCATGGAGGACATTGAAGTTATATCTTGGAGTCTTTCATAGTCGTCACAACCCGCACGTAGGGAGGCCGTAAAGGCTTTAGGACAGCGCAGTATTGCGTGCCTCTCCATAAAGTTCCTTACTCTCTACTACTTTAATATGTATTGTTGTTATTTTACTAGCCTATTATTTTAGTATATTGTTTTATTTATACTATATATATTGTGGTATGATTACAGTGTGGTATGAATATATAAGTGTTTTAGTCAAATTGAATTTTGATAAGATAATGTGAATGGACTTAAATATGAGATTGTATAAAAATATCAAAAATCCTGTCCAGTCATACACTTGTTTGTATCTTTGATTCTTATATGGTTATGATTTTCATGGCTTTTATATTTATATATTAATCATTCTTACTATGTTTTATGCACAATATTCATATTCTTGTGTTAAAGTAGTTTTAAATGGTTACTGTGAAGTTATGAAAATTAATATAGATATAAAACAATAATTATTTAATTTCTATCCATTATTTTAAAAGAAAAAAAAAATTAATGCTTTTGTTTAGTTTGTTGGTTGACGTTATTGGATAGAAAGGAAAATGTTTGAGAGTGAAATGTGCATTTTTTCTTTTAATTTTAATTCAGTTCAAAAGAAAAGTGTTCTATTAAAAATAGGAATAATAATTGATTCTGTGCAGTTGGACGAAGAACAACACAGTCATGGCAATTAACATAGTCACTTCCCATTTACATAGCTTTTCGGAAACGTATTGTTTTACCTGAAAAGGTACGACTTTAAATAAGTGTTTTAGTATAACAAATATTGTAATAGGACTCATGTAGTGTATTAATAAGTGTTATAAATAAATACATAAAATATTATTTTGAGTTTAATTACTATTAAATAAAAAAACCCTTACACTTAAAAGTCACGTCTTTTAGCAAGAGTTGTATATTTAAATTAAAACTCTTTTTCATTCTTAATAAATAATAATCATATTTTAAATTTTATTACACTTAAATAAAATTTGAAAAGTTGCATCATTTGGAAAATCACACAACATTTCATTCTGGATTATCTTAGAGTTGGAGGGATAATAAATAATTTTTTATTGTGAATCCTTATATAGTTGGAAATCCAAGTATTTTTTCAGATAGTTTATTATCATTATATTGACAACCGTGGAGAGTTCTCTTTTTCAGTAGAGTTTATTACCATTAAATTCAAATACATTAACCGTCTTTTTTTATTTTATAGAAAAGTCATGTCTTTTTGTTTTTGGAACCTAAATGTTTTTAGTAACTTCTATTAATAATAATAATAATAAAAGGGAGGGATTTTAATTATGATAAATTTTATGGAATGCATTGAATTCTAAATAAGAAAATGACTGATTAATTTTCCATTGAGTTTTCTAAATTCAAAGAAGATCCAGATAATTAAGGCTATTATCTTTTTATCCCTTTTATTTGAAAGGTTATATCATTTAGCCAAAAGCAGTATTAAAATTTTAAAGTTTTATAAGTATCAGTTAGTTTTCAACTTTAATATTTGGTAAATTTAAGTGGTTACCGTACCATTCTTATGCTATGTAATGCTATCTGAAAGTTATCATGATATGTATAATCAATATAGCGTTTTTGTGTGTATATGTCAAAGGACATATTGATTTGAAAACAAGTATATTGGGATTGAATATAAATAAGTAATGTATATAAAATAAGATGTATAAAAGTTAGTTTTCTATTCTTTGAAGGTATCTCATGTAATTGCATAATAAGATGACAGTTAGTTACATAATAAGTGTAGATTTATATGTGTACCAATACAAGACTTGGGTTGATTTCCTAAAGTGAAAACTATTTTGAGTTTTGTTTGGCTAGTTTACTCATTTATTGGAATTCGTGTTATAGAGAAATCAATTATCAGTTTATACTGTAGTTGTTTATTTAAATTTTGATAATATTATATCAATTGGTATATTTTAAGATGTGATAATCTAGATTTAGAATGATCTCTTGTTGAACACGTAAACTTATGTGACAATTAGTTATTTCATATCATAATTTTGAAACGTGTGAAATGTGGGGGTAGATATATAGTGCAAAATTATATGTATCATTATCGTGAGAATTTTTATGATGATGAGAATGCTCTTCTTTGGCATGAGTTAGATATTTTCAGTGTGCTACTCTATGCAGAGGGAATGATTATAATTTTATTTACAGAGAAAACATTTATGAATTAATCGATCGTTGTGTTGTTCTAGCCTTTGAGACAGGTTAATAGTTGATTCAAGTCAATGGCTAGCGATACAAGTTGGAAGATGCATGCACTACAAAGATGAATTAAATTAAAAAAGACCAAGTGTCTTTTCTTTTTAAGAGTGTAGTCCTAGAACTCTCTAGAGAAAGAAAATAATAATGAGACTGATGATGTCTTATTTTTGTAGGAGCGTAATCCTAGAAGTGTCGAGGGGAATGGGCTTAAGTCCATAAGGGAGTCACCTTCGGAGGTAACCTGTCCTTTGTGATTGAAGATCCCATGAATTAGGTTCAACGGGTAGAAACAATCCGTACTGCATGACTTATTTACAACACTTTCTTATTAGGAGGTTTCTCATGAAAATCCACTCCTACCCATCCCTATGGCACCAGTGCTGTTTAATGTGATATTAGGAAGGGTTTTTCCCTGAATGAGACCAAGGCAAGCAAACTCTTGCAAGGTATAGGTCACATATACCTTTGGAGGACTCACTTAAGTGAGAGTTGTCGTGAGGCCGCGACTATGAGAATTGGGCTATTCTCTAGTAACTCTCATAAGAATCAAGATACCAGTGCATGGCCATTAATAGCGCTATACTGCTAACCAAGTCATAAGTCAATACTCTGTGTGCTACATGTTGAAGTCTGATTCAAGGGGCCGAGTTCAAGACCTAGTCTCTCGGGTTCCTCAGATGGAGACAGTAACACTAAGTGCAAGTTCAAGTCCGCAAGACTCTTGCATTTTTTTTTAATTATTTTTCATGTATCTTTTGTATGGTATTTTAAAGTTTGAAGTTTTAAAAACTTGTGGGGGATTGTTAGGTTTTTTCAATAAAACATAAAACTTTTTAAAACTTTTTATTTGAAGAGGTGTGACCCCTTATGAGTAGTTATGTCTATTGGCTAAGGGTGTGAAAATAACCTATAAATATATGGTTATTCTAATAGATTAAAGGTTCTACTTCGTTTCTTTAGTATCCTTTTCTAAAAATTCATTCCTTCATTCTTCAACCGAATAATATATTATCTATATTCAATTATATATCTGGTTTTATGGGCAACGTGACACTACAAGACTTGGTGATCGTCACTCTGTGAACGTGCGCATGGAGGACATTGCAGTTGTATCTTGGAACCTTTCATAATCGTCACAACCTACACGTAGGGAGGCTGTAAAGGCTTTAGGACAGCATAGTATTATGTGCCTTTCCATTAAACAGGCCAGAAGTTCCTTACTCTTTACTACTTTAATATGTATTGTTGTTATTTTACTGGCCTATTATTTTAGTATATTGTTTTATTTATACTATATATATTGTGGTATGATTACAGTGTGGTAATGAATATATAAGTGTTTTAGTCAAATTGAATTTTGATAAGATTATGTGAATGAACTTAAATATGAGATTGTATAAAAATATCAAAAATCCTCAATAGGTGTGCAGGAATGGAATGAAATGCTCATTTCAAATATTCCTTTATTTGGTATGCAATTTAAAGTGGGAATGATCATTCTATTAACATTCTTTTGTTTGGTATGCAATTTAAAGTGGGAATAATCATTCAATTGGAACGAAAATTCATTCCAAGAAATAAAAATCCATTTTACAACTAAACCTA